CGAAGCTTTTCTTCGTTCTCTCATGAATTCGCTCCTGAAATGAAGTTTTCGTCGTCTCCCAAAGGCATAGATAGGTTCTTTCAAACTTTTCCTATTTCTTCTCCCAATTTATCTGTAAATCAAAAGCTGTCGCCATCATTTACAGACCTTCAGAAGTAGTGTGAACTCTCTCCAGGATAACTGTCAAATTAATCGATTCCTTAAATTTTCGTTAGCGTTTTGGATCATTTCTGTAGATCACAAATCTTTCGTCGTGCATCATACACATGCTTCCAAGGCTGAAGCTTTTCATCGGTAGATTCACAAGTTTCAGGCTTATGAAGCATTCTGCTCTTTTTCTAAGGCATTCCTATATGTTTAGAAAGCTCTCACCATCACTCGAGGACATTGTTGGCTTCTGATGCTTTTTACTTCCTCGCATCAATTCATCTGTGGTTGCCATGTTTTCACTGTGATCCAAGGTCATTTAGTGAGTATGCTGAAGATATTCACGGCTAACCAGACACATTGGGTAGTTCTCTTAATCTTTTTTGCTGTCTGTTAAATAGGTTCATTGTTAGCCTGAAGATCGCCGCAGTTACTTTAAGACACGGATGAGTTCTCTGAAGCTTTTTTATTTTGATTACACATTTCTTTGTTGCTGGGAAATGTTTACTGTCATGAAAATCCATTGATGACTAAATTGAAGTTTTCCGTGGTGAATTTTACATGTCGCCAGATTGTTCGAAACTTTTCTATGTACCTTAGTAAAAAAATGGATGTGGTTAACCTTTTTCCGACTCTTTCGCATTATCAGCGACCCTACAGCGTTTCTCCTGGACAAAACACATTCATCGATTGTCCGAAACTGCTTCCCACCACGAACACATTTTCATTGACATCCTGATAAATGGCTGCGTAATAGCGATTCTTGTATTGTTACCATAATTCGTGTTTGTGCGCGCTCTATTTTTTCCTCGTGTCTCTCAGCGATTCGTATACTACTTCAAGCTTTCAACTTTCATCCTGACAGATTGCTCTGTTGTCCGAAGCTTTTCGAGTTTGTTCCTATGGACTGCCCTGTGACCCCGAGGTTCTCACGACCGCCCTGACAAATTGGTAGAAGCATCGAAATCTTGCACAGTGACTTCGAAGTACAACCATGTACTCCAAAGTTTTTCGGCCTGAGTTTCGCTCATAGTCGTTCGGGACGAAGCTGTCTTGACAACAGTTTGACGGATTGCCCTGTGGTTCGAAGTGGCTGGCTCTTGATATTTCACGTTACTGTGAGTGATCAACTCTGTTACATCACTAAGCAAAAAGAAGCTTTTTGCCCTCATTGTTACAGATTGTACTATGGTTGAAAGTTTTTCGCCTTTATTGTCAGATATCGCTCTCCCACAAACAGGTTTTGATCTTCATCTGTGCAGATTTGTTTCCGTCGAAAACTTTCTCACCGTTACTCTTACCTACATGCAAAGTCTACTATTATGTTCATGTTCTGTTTATGCGTGGTCCTATTAAAGTCGCAGTTACATTATATTAATTTTGGTTTCGTATTTCGTCAATAACTGAAATTGATGAATAGAATGGGAGAAAAAGAGGGATAGACTATTTGCAGTGTCTTGGCACAAAATATATAACATTCAAAAGGGTTTCTTTGGCTTCTTGAACCTTTCTAATAGTTTACTCACCACGGTAAAATACTTTAAGCCGAAACGTTTTGAGAAATTTTGATGATGTGTTACTCTTGACAAAATTTTTGTACCTTACACTGCTGGCTTGTTTTTTTCGAATGATTCGTGTTTTACTTTTGCAGCGTGCCAAACTTCTGTGTTCTGTTGCTGTCTGTGTTTGCCGTCCTTTTTTTTGTTTTTTTTGTAATTCTTATAGCATTCACCGAAAGAGAACATAACGAGTAACGTTAAAAAAGCCAAAAAAACTCATACTTATTTAATGACATTCATTTTATATGGAGTATAGAGATTGATATATGTTTTTGTATAATTTGAGACAGTTTGGGTTGTTTAAAGATAGATAGGGACTAGCAAGGAGACATTTTAGTACATCTTTATTCGATGATTCGATTACTGATACTTAATAGAGCACGACTGTTCTAAAAAAAGTTGTTACATCTTATTTCAAGTTGAAGTAAATAAAATTTATATCATCATAAACATGAGACGTTTTTTTTAAGAGGATACAAAGATTGATAATTTTTAGTATAATTCATTTTTCAATTTAAATAGATATTTTAGAAGATTCAACGCTTCATCTTATTTGTCAACAAAGAACAAGGGAAAGAGAAAAACATTTAGCTTGCTCATTTGAACTTGAACTTCAAGCATATTACATTCCCAAAGAAATATGTAGAATAAAAATCAGTTTAGTTTTTACCTGATTCTTATGAAAAGAGCTAGCCTTTGAAGATAGTCTAATGTGAATATAAAAATCAGAATGGTAGGTTTAGGCCATTTTAAATTCTAGAAAGTATATGTGAGATCTTCTTGAACATTTTCTGTCGACTACAGAAGAATCACAAAGATTTATGATACGCGTAGCAATGTCAACATATCTTGAAGTTTTCTTATGATAGTATCTCATAATTAAAAGACGTTGTTTCACATGAGATCAACGTTGGAAGGAATCTCCAACAACTTTTTTATGAGTTCAACGGATGCACGTAGATGTATTAAATAGAAAATTGAACATTATCAAGGTATGAGGGTGACTTTATATAAGTATGCACATCCTAAGATCTGTTTAAGAATAAAACATTGATCGAAATTTATTGCCATTAGAAAAAGCAGTATATAACATTAGCATGTCGTCCTCTATAATTTGTTTTTGTAAAACTGTCTGTCATATCTCATACAAATAAACAGAGATTCAATGATAGCAAAGTATTATTTTTTTTTATTTACAGACTATATCAATACTTACTATCTACGTCTTAATAAGAATATAAATAATAAAGCATAAATATAACATATTCGTGGTGTTGGAAAAATGAGATATTAAATAACATTGTAAAACAATGAATATTTCTTCTTTTTATCTGTTTTTTTTAATTTTTAATTTCCAATATCCAATACGAATGTATTTCTTTACTGATCTTCTATGAATACCTTCAAAATTATATGAAAAATACAAGATAAAATTTATCGATTGTGTCTTTAGGTTCACTAGAAAAATGATAAATGATAATAATAAAGCATACTTTATATAACTCATCTTACAGTTATGCTAAAATTTTAATTTTTAATTAGATCGTATAGAAGAATAAGAAGCAGACATACTGATTTTTTTTGTTTTCTTCATAATTATTTTAAATTTTCATTAACGATCATTGATAAAACGGAAACTTCGAAAAAAGGCAGCAACATTCGATCTAATCATTTTTGCTTTTGAAACTCATTTTTATTGTTTCGAAAAAAAATCAACAGAGTTCTGACTTCAAAAATTGTCATTTTGTGGAATGAATTGAGAAAAAACGGAACTTAATAACAACGTTTGAACGAAAACCATGCGACTGTCTGATCTTTAGATCATCATGTCACAAAATAGTGATTCGAGTGGGGTGTCTGGCATACGAGCTAAGCCGATCGTTCGAACTCAGTGCGAAGTGCATCTGCAGACTGGCTTCATCGTTGATGACATTATCAAACTTTTCACTTAGTCGAAACGTCCCATTCAGGGAAAAAACATATTTGTAGATTGCATGTCCAACGATACAAATTGTAAATAGATTATTAACAAACAAA